GTAGGTAGGTAATCGTAACCATCCTTCCTAAATAAGAAGTAAATTTCGCTTAACAAAAGGGAAATTTGGCTTTGTAAAAATATACAAAGGATGATTTGGCGGCTACATCTTATTTACTTTCGTGCAAAAAGGGAGAACAAAGGGACCAAATGTAGCTTCCCATCTGAGCAAGCCCATGAGGAAGCCATAGGATTGTTTCGTGGAACAAATTTCTCTCCCCCTGGAAATTGGGTCTGGATGAGTTCGCATGGCTTGTGACATTTTGTTCCACTCTCGGCCAATTTGCCGCCGGATTTTAAAATTTAACTTTTGTTCACCATATAAGTAAGAGAATTTTAATTCATTTCGTGCCGATTCGTCTTTTCCAGCTAAGCATTTTGAACCCTGGTGGAAACTAGACTTGGGGAAAAGCTTCGTCGTAACGAAGGTTGTTATTTTCAACCGCGCTGGAAAATTTGGTGAGTGCTTTTGAGTTTTGGAATCAGTCTGACAAAGAGAAAGCCCTGCAAAGTAAATTTAAACAGAGAGGAGATGTAGCCCACGGTAGAGACAAAGCTCAAATTAATTCCGGTATGGTGAAACATTGTATACGATCAAGTTAATTAATGGAGTGGTCGTGGAATGAGATATAAAAGGATGATGAAGAGGGTAAGAGAGATGGTTGTATGCAGGGAGGCGACAGTGACGTGTAAAATATTGAACCAGTGATAAATGGGCAATTACCACTCTAACTAGGATCTGTCTCAAAGATGATAGGAATAGGATGATGGTGAATAGACGTGGATGACAATACTCCCACATTTTAAATGGTGCATTGTTAATAATGTACTGTGTACACACTTACATTAGCTTCTTTGAGAAAGAGGTGGCCTTTACAACCCCTTCTTCAGCACATTTCTGGTGAAATCTGAATTTGTTTGTGGACTGGATTTCGTTATGGGGGTGCAGGTAGACGTCTCTTTGGCGCTGAAGTGCGCGTTGGTGGCAATGCTGTGACCGGCGGGAACCGCCCTTGCGGTAGTCTTGTGACGAAGGCAGAAGTAGCGGCCACGGGCAACAAGATCACGCGGGAGTGTGCAGCAAACACGAGGGGGCGCTTCGTCAGCGTGCAGATCCGGCACAGAGCGGAATTTCTGACGTTGTGTGAGGTGCAGGTATTTGGCCACGAAATACTGGGTAATACAGGACTTCTCCAGAGTATATAACTTAAGCAAAAGCTTACCAGAATTTGGTTCTAATCAAGTCGTTGACAGTGAGTTTTTTTAGGCACGATGTAAGATCACAATAATGTTGTCGCCAAAAATTCGTCAGATTTGATAGTCTTTTGTAGGGTTCTTACTTAATACAGTAACGTGCGTACATACACCACCAGATAAAATGGCATTATAGGCATGATGGACTTAGTCTGATTTGCAATGACCCCTGAGCTGAACCAATAGAGGGTGCAATTTTCCAAGCAACGGCGGCTCCCTTGGTCGGAAATGCACATCGGTGTTTCACAAACGACAATAAAATACACGCGTTACGGGCGCGTCGCTACCAGCAAAATGAGCAATCCCAACAAACCTGGCTATTTTCAACCGATGAGGAGGTGCTTCTGCTTAAGGCGGATTATTTGAAAAAGTGAACCAGCTAATTCCAAAATAGTGCCATTTTAGTCCTACAGATAATTAATAAAATTTCACTTATAAAACAAGAAGGTCATATTTGGCATTTCTGTTTTGGCAGGAAGTGACAGCGCAGTGATTCCGTTCGAGGGCTACCCTCCTCTCCCGTCCCCTCTCATCCCATCCCCAGGGTACCCGTCCGGGTTCATACCAGGGTCTGCTGTGACCGGGGGGAACTGCCTGGTTCCTGATTTGCAGAACAAGGGGAGCTACCTGGTCATACCAGACGGTGGTGTGACGGTGGTTGGCCGTTGCGCCAAATGCCGTTGCGATGTTGTCACCTCCTATATCTCACCTGGAAAAGTGATTGACAGGTGAAGTCGAGGATAATATGGATTTTTCTAAAGTTAAAAGACACTAAAATTTCGATTGAAGTGAATTTTGTATTATGTCAAAAGTTAGCAATTTCCCAAGCAAAAAATATAGCCGCTACGGTATAAAATATGACTTTGCTGGACGTAATAACGGGCGCACGGAACAACAGTAGGAAGCCTTCAACGTGAAGTCGTTTGAATAAACGTTCTAATATTCATCACAGAGGCTGCAATTGCGACTATTCGGACTGTTGCGAGTACCAGGGAAAGTACTACGCCCCCAACGATATCGTGCCTAACTACAATGGAGACCAGTGTGGCCGGATCTGCAAATGTTTCGCCAGTGCTGGTGGCGAGAGACCCATCATTGCTTGCTCCCCCAACAGCAACGTGTGTGAGTTTGAGAGCAGATGCGTGCACTACGAGGTGGATAATTGTGGCTGCCCCTACTGCAAAACAGGTAACGGATAAAATGACAAGATCTGGGCCAGGCATCGCGAACCTTTTAAGCAGTATTACGAAAAGGAGTCTACAAGCATGTTATAACAGTGTTGTAGCCAAATTTAGACACCTTTCATAAAGTAACCCCTGGGTATTTTTTTTCCCGGGAAGACAGACATAATGCTTGGTTGTGTGAGTCTACGTTTTGTTTCTAGCGATGGATGGCAAGGGAGGCAGAAAACATCCAAGATGGGAGCAAATGGGTAGAGATAAAAACTGTAAAGAACTTCTAAGCTATACACGAAAAGCAGGCTTACACCAAGAAGTCACAACCAAAATAATTACATGTACTTGGATACGCTAACCATATACATATTCACTGACATCTCGAAAATCAGGACTGGATCTCGTTCTGTGGCGTCGAACCACGATTTCTGGATGGACATGGAGGAGCATAGAATGACTAAAATGATTTCCACGTCTTCAGAGAATTTCAGCGAAATTTTCCACCAAAGCTATAGAAATGTTAATCATGTCACTCTCACCGTTAAAGAGCGGGGGTCCATCTCTATAGAAATTCTGCCCATGCACCAGTTGGTTCTACACGTCTGTATTGCTATTTTTCTAATCTGCCTTTTTGAGCAGACTCCTTCCGTCCAAAGCATCAGTAGGACTCGGTTAAAGCCACAAGCTTAGCCCTCAATGATGGATTCATGATTTATATAATCGTATTAAAGCGTTGAAATAATAATCAATTTTCCCACTTGGGTGACCAGTGTACTGGTACTCGGGCCATTGGATGAGAAGATCATGTTACTCTAAGGCTGCCAGTGTTGCCCACCTGATAACCTGACTCCTTCCCAACAACTCCGTCCTTTTCTTCCTTCGCATTCAGGGTGTCATTGGCTAGACTAGGGTGACTAAAATACATGGAGCTACAAAAATAATGTAGACCATTGCTCGCCGATGGTGGTCCAATGTCAAGTGCATGGGGAACTTCCAAACAGAAAGGCATCAAAATCTACCCAAGGGGCTTGGCTTGGAATAACCAGCACGTTTCACGCCACGAGTGCCTTTCTCGTTCCTGAGAAAGATGTGTCGCCAAAGGGAGGATTTTACTTGATCCACGTAATGTGGTGTGAGCAAATTGAAGCGATAATGTGCCACCTCAGAAAGAGCCATGAAAAAAATTGGAGAGAGACTTGGTTAATGTGACCCAACCACGCAAAGTTACAGTTATAGTTGGATGGTTGGAAGAAACTTCAAAACAGAATTTAAGAATGCATTGACCCTGTGCTTGTGCAAGCCAGGTTTGATGTCAGTTCAAATATAAAGTTACTTTAGGCTTTCAACTGACCATCTTTCAGCACGTTACGTACGTGTGTCGTGGACTCACTATGTACGGTTGAGGCCTCATGAGGCGTGAAGTATACAGCAGACGCGGACTCCAGGTTGCAAAAAAGTGAGGAAAATAACGCTCTTCGTGTTTTCATGACCCCCTAAAATGTCAATACGATACTCTCCCAATTTCATTGTAGTCCCGATTATACAGTAATGGAATCTCAGGTATAGATGTCCTTTGCAAATTAAATCTAGGGCATTTTCTGATGATGTTTGAGGATACTTTGTTCATGCTCAGCTCGCAATCGCTCGGTGAGTAAAATGTAAATGTCCACAAACTTGAAAGTCACGCTCAAAAAAGCTGGAAAAACCATGATAATGGTCAGGGCATTTTGGCCCTTGGCCAAATAGTCAAACGTTACTATATCTGCAGCAAAACTTCTTCAGGTACAACTCCGGTGCACCCTCTTTAATGATGGTTTACAGTTCCTATTACACAACTTATGCTTGCTACAAATAGCCTTTGTCTCTGGAACGGCTGGAAGGGATTTCATGTAGTTAGGCCCCAATTTTTATGGTTCAAGCTAAGGCAAGTATGGAGCCTGAGCCTCACCTTCAAACGTAGATATCAAAGCTTGAGAGCTAGTTCTTTTTGTTTAATCATAGAAGGCCGACAAATGACACCAAGGCTAGGGCTGAGACTTGATATCAGACGACGAATGCGAGGTTTAAGAAATGCTTCTATCGATTTTTTATGTCTAGGAGTGAGCGACTGTTGGGGTTACGACCCGTGGAAGCAGAAAGACGTCTGTGTACCAGACGGGCATGGCCCCGTGGTCATTAATCCTCAGCATCCCTACTTTACCTGCCAATGCATGTACGTCACCACCTTCACGGTTAACGCCAACACTGCAATTCCATACAACAAACTCAGGTGAGGTTTACCACTGCTGTGGGTGTATTTTTTTCCGAAGGGGTTGTTAAATACAAGTATAGACACTTAAAAGGGATGAACGCATGCGTATGCAGTCTCCTGTCGCCTACATCCTCATCTCTTACCCCAACGAAATCTAACATATGGAGGGAGAGGCACCTGCAATTCTCTCCAGATCTCATTTCCAACAGAAAAAGCTCTCGTTCTAAGTGCCCCAGGATTAGTTTAGCAATTGGGATGGAGGAAAAACAACACACCGAAGTTTTGCCACTGACAAGACAGACCTCCCAAAAGATAAAAAAAAGACACTTCTTATGAGTAGCCGGTTCAGGTTCATGCCTTGGGGAGGAGCAAGAAACAGATCCATAGTGCCTTTGGCGAAGAAGGCTTTTTGATTAAAGAGCTTTCAGACGGTATACTTGTAGGACACACAGAACCTTGAATGTAGGAAACAGGCCAATTGAAGGAGTACACGGACTTGGAATTGTTTGCCGGGGGAGGAGACGTTGGCTTAGCATTATGCAGAGATGCAGTGGAACAAGTTGGCGCGGTGGATGGTGTTGAGTTGGGTGGGTGTAGGTTGACCAAAGAGCGACTATCTTAGGCTTTACATTAAAATAGTGTAAACTAGTTGTTTGTCTTTTTTTCAGTCACATTGTTACAAACATTTTAGCTGTGGAAAATTCAGAAAGTAGCCTTACAGATTTTTACTGTTTTATTTCTTAAAGTCAGGAGAAAGACATCAGTATAGCCCATTGCCGAGGATCGATGATACCCTCGACTGCGTTCGAGACAACACGCTTTCGTGTGAAGTGTTGTCATTATGGTTTTACTTTTTCCTGCGGGTGAAATACAATCTAAAATCATTGCTGAATACCGTGCATGGACTGCTCAGGGAAATTCGTTGCTAGGAATCCATTTAAAGTCAGTTGTTCAGTTATATCCTACGCACACGAAGCGATTCAAAAGCGAAGCAAACTGCACTTTACTACGTCAAACGAAGATATCTTAACGCGCCCTCACTTTTGTATAGATGTCAAGCGAAAGATGCACCAGTGCTTTAATTGCCAATCTGTGCTAAACTCAACACTTGACTGGACGAGTTGCACTTAACCAACCAGCGACTTCCAGGTTCAAATTACCACTGTTTATAGTCATCATGTGACCAGGACTGGATTATGTGTTCCGTAGGCTCAAGGCACCAGTTTTCCGCATGCCCATGGGCTCTATATACATGTACATGTACTCTGCTCTAAGTTCAAGCACCAGTCTCATAGCGCTGCAGTCGTTAGCCCTGCGGTCCTGCATTGATGCTAAGCATGAGCAGTTCTTGAAGCTCTCTCAACATCGAAAATCCAAAGACCGATGCTCAATCATTGAAGCTACGTTTGCATAATTTCAATGGTGATGTTTTATTACACATCTATGGTATTTTTGTCGGCACCTTTTTCGTAGGCCCCGAATATATTGCAAGCCCTATAGGCATTGTGCCTACTGTGCCTATTGGACAACCCGGCCCTTCCTGCGGACCACCCTTTGATCTTTGTACTAATGTGCGGATTTTTTTTGTTCCTCTTGATATTACAGAAGAGCCAGATGCACCGGCCCAGTACACTGACTGTGAAGCTCTCTTGGACAGATCACATGGGGTTACAGCAGTGGTATTATTAATATGAGCATATCAGGCTTCAACAGAATTCCCCAAAGAACAATGAGGGTTTCAAATGATGTCAAAAGATTATAAGCTCAGGCCATTCAGCTCGAAAAAAATTAATGACGTGGTCTCACTGAAAGTATGTATCCTTCAATTCAGTTTAAGCACGGAAGATCAGTGAACAGGACTGGGTAACATTCTGACAACAGGTGGCGCTAATCATGGTCGTCGCACAATACCCATGTGTCCTTACATCTTCTCCCAGAAACTGGAAATAAACTCCATTTTTACGTGTTCAAATTAATCAGATCAAGTGGTATCTACAATCAAGCATCCTAGCAAACACAGTAGCAACCTTTGATTTGATAAATACAGTTCCATTAACGTGTCCAATTGGAAGGTAGGTCGAAACTGCCCAAACCAGCATGACGTGTTCCAGGTCCTTGTACGTTTCGTTCATTCATTTTTCGATTTGAAAACGAAAAATGAGTAAAAAGACGAAAAAATCGCGTTATGTTTCATGTTGGAAATGAAAAACGAAAGTAATCTGGTTTAAAATTTCAGTTTAAACCCAATTTCGTTTGACTGCACACGTAATTTTGAGGAGGCGTCACGGACATCTCTGAGCACTTCTCAAAAGGAAAGTTGCTTTTGAAAATGCGGGACATTTGGGTTGCTCCATCTTTTACTTTAAAAGCAACGGATCCCTCGTTTTCCTTTTGTTCTGCCATGATTGATTTGGTGGGTTGCAAAGATTTTCCTTACTTTACAAAATGAAAAATGGAGCTGTTTTTCATTCTTCAAAAAAGGTAGATCATTTATTACAATGTTATTCATTTTCATGTTGAAAAACGAAAAAAGAACGCGATTGTCGTTTTTCATTTTTAAATGAAAGACGAGAACCGACTTATTTCTCCATTTTCAATTTTCTGTTTTTAAATCGAAAAACAAGAAACGACTCATTTTTCGATTTTCATTTTTCGTTTTTTTTTTAATCTAAGAACGAACAAACGAAAAGTACACAGACCTTTCTACCCATTACTAGAGAATCATTGAAATCTTATAGCTAGGCCTACAATAGCTATGAGCTATGGAAGTTTAAAGTGTAATCGATTATAAAGAAAGCATTTATAAAAACAATGACGTAGGTTTTTATGTTTGTTATTCAATCCTTTTAAGTCTGTGCCCATCACAAAAAACATTTCTTAAGTTGAAACCTGTATGGTCCCCGTCCAAATATATTTTTTGTCACTGTCTAGAATGATGTACGCCTCTCTGCTTCCCCGTAGAATTTCTCTCAAGATCTTTACTATATGGTTCAGTTTCCAGGCTTTAGGAAATCATCATTATGGTTAAAGACCAGTAAATAAGTTGCCCTGGACAAACATTATCTGTCCATATTACCAAGGATTATGGATTCTGTTCATTTTCAAGTAATAAGACCATTGACCTCTCTGCCTTATTCATAGCTCCTAGTTCATGTTTGTTTACGCTTATAAGTTTTGGGAACAGCTCTCAGCGATCTTTCAGATAAAGTAAGCCTGCATACAGAAAAGTGTCGAATCAAATTTATTTGTCACTTTTAAGATAGTCACTAAATAACGGGGACGTATGGAATTTATCATAATTTCGCTTTTTTGCAGTTTTTTTATATTGCTGATGCTATTAATATTGTACGATAAAAACTGAAATGTGCCACGTTAACATTAAGAAGCGCAACGAACTGTGAAGATGTTTGACGGAACGGTTTACCACAGTTAGCTCCAGCCTCGTCTTCAAAGAGCTGATCGCTGCGCCAAATAACCTCTGTTCATAAGGTAGCTGGTTGCCCTTGGATTAATGTCTCCTCTCCTGAAATGACAGCCAAAGATAAATGCCTCCAACTTCAAAAAAATCAATATGTTTGACTTTCCCAGGACGTTGAGAGACGTACCCACTCAAGATTTGTTTCTGTTTCTGATCACTTTGGTGATCAGAAACCCATGATTTTTTGACAGATGTGGGCCACCGTACCTTTTGACATGATTTTTGAAGAATGAGTCCTCATTTGCAAAATAGAGCATAAGGTGGAGACTTCTTCCATAAAATCTTTCAGATATGCCAGCTGACAATCCTTTTCAAAGCTTTCTACCTTTCTAATATCGAGTTCGTGCTCCACAAGACTAGTGGTGCACTGGGGCCCGTAGGGGTGCACACATTTTCAAAAGAGCGCCAAAAAATTCGGGCAGCTTAATGGCGGATCCAGAACCGGGGGGGGGTCAATTTTTTTTTCTTTGGTGTGGGGGGGCAAAAATCTTTGAAATTTTGGTATATAATCTTCATGGTCTTTCTGAAGTTGAGGCTGCATTTTTTAAAATGTTTTTAACTCACCTTGCAGGGAGGCAAGGGAATAGGCCAAAAAGTCGCCTTTGGTCTCTCATTTTTCAAACGTTTTTCTCCTTTTAAGGAGAGGGGCCATGGTTTTTGGGTCCCCTGCATGAATCCGCCCTTGGGTTTTAAGTGCACATGTAGGTTATGTATGTGTGTGTGTGTGGGGGGGGTATTTCCCTATGCTTACTTTACTTCACAAAAGTCCACTATGAGCCCCGAGTTGGACCAAGAGAGGGCGCAATTTTCCTAGCAACGCAGGCTCCTTTACAGTCAGAACTGCACTTCGCTGGTTCACAAACGACTGTGAAATGCACGCGTTATGGGCACGTCGCTTCCGGCAAAATGAGTACTGTGACGTCACGCCCCTCTTCCTTGAGCCGTGACGGTCGGACGGCACGTACCGGAGTGTCCCTGAGGTCGAGTTCGGGCGGCCTGTTCTCAATACAGGTTTCTTGTTTTCGCGCTCAAACGGTGGAAATACGACTCAAGAACACTGTTCACGGAACAGGATCACACACCACCTCCTCGTCAGGGTTTTACAAGAACACACGGAAAAACTCGTGAGATTTTGATTTTTGAACAGTTGCAAACATGGCAAAAAAGTAGAGTGATAGCTTACAAAGCCAGAGACTATAGGAAATTTTGCAAAAGTAACAATAACTATTCTTCATAACACAAAAATGAATGTTCCTAATTAAACAGAAAAGAATTCAGCCCAGCTATCCAAATATTAACTCTCGAATAACGTACAAGGACGCCGCCATGTTGCTTGTGACTAACTTCCAGCAATAACCGGTTGTACGTTCCCGGCATTCGACTGGCTGATCCAAGAACAACAAATCAAGCTGTTCGTGAACATACGAGAGCAATTCGCTCGAACTCAGCCTGAGCGTCTAGGGACGAGTCCGTTGGGATTGAAGTATACCGTCCCCGAAGAAAGTTCAATGATCTCTGGTCTTCGTTGAGATGATGCCTAATCTGATTAGCCAAAACGTAGTGCGGCAACCCAAGCAGACCTGACTTAAAATAAACGTCGTCTGGACACCTGATTTGTATACAACAATCAAAGAGGCTGGTTTATTCATCAACGTTCCTTCAAGTAAGGTACCTTGCACCATGCAAGGATGCGATCTCTTTCGTGAGTCTGTATGGTTCTGAAAAGAACCGTGAGGAACTCAACGTTTCGGACAGTATGCTCTGTCTGTCGTCAGGAGACTGAAGAGATGCTGACAGAGAGTGGGGCTTATAAGCTGACTGGGAGCACTGAGTGTGACGGATCCTTCTGTGTAGTCAGGTGGAACGAGGATGCAGCTGGTGGATCCACCAGGGTACTGATGCATGTCAGTTGGTCATGGGCTGTGGCGGGGGAAGGTTGCCTGGGTATAGGAGACCCATCGGCGGGGGGCCTAGGGTATAGAGGACCCATCAGCCCAGGAGGTGAGCAGGGGCTGCCAAATGTCGCTGATGGAGAAGCCGATGTCTTGAGGCACGGTGGGATGTTTAGAGATTTCCAGGCTTCTATAATGCGTCTTGGGTACCACTGTTCGATGCTAGCGATGAGGCGGGCTTCTTCCCAGTTTATGGTGTGGTCTTCGGCGTGAGAATGCTTGATGATGGCTGACTTCTCATAGTCCCCCCTTCCTGCCATGGGCTTAGTGTTCTTTGATCCTGGTAGGGAGGTCCCTACCAGTCTCTCCGATGTACACTTTGCCACACTGGCAAGGGATCTTGTACACACCTGGTCGGCGGTGTGGATCTTGCCTGTCCTTACGGGCAGTCAGCATCCCGTGGATCTTGGGGGGAGCTGTGTGGAACACCTTAATGTTGTGCTTGCTCAGGATACGCTGGATGTGGTGGGAGGTACGTCCTAGGTAGGGGAGAGTGACAGAACGATGTAAGCTTTCCAGCTTAGTTGTCTGTCACCATGAATAGCTTGAAATCCCAACGTTCCTTCAATTACACTCAACAAATACATCAGTAGAGGGCGCTATTGACGGGGAGATATTATACGTGACTGGACTTCGCCAAGAGCAGCGAACACCACAAATAATTGTGGGTATCCAGATCCGAATCAGGAACGTTAGCGACGTTAGCAGTGACCACGTGTGACGTATTTCCTTCTCTAAGATCTGTGCAAGGCCTGCAGGTTGTAGGCCAGTAAATAGGTTCAAAGTTTAATTGCCTGCAGCGCAGACTGAATCACGATTTGTAGGCTGTCAAATTCTCTGCTATTGAGCACGTCGAGGCAAGTGGACTGGGTGGTTTGTTAAGGAGGATGAAGTCTATGGGCAGGACTGCCAGCTTGTATTTCTGAAAGTATCAGACCAAACGGGGCCCTCCAAATTACTTTATTGTGCAACGAAGTGTAGGCATCAATTTTCAAAGTGGCGATGGGCCTCATGACTATTTTGAGGGGTGATTTTCTCAGGAGGGCAATATCTTCAAAAGTCACTGTTTAAGCTTCTAAAATTGAAAGGAAAACGAAAGATAAGGAAGTGAGCTTTGATTTGATACGTGTCTTGAACACTTGTGAAACTTTTGAGTATTTTTCCGATTTTTTGAAGTGGGGATATTTATCATTGTTGTCTATGGCAGCTTATTTACTGGTCGTACCCATCATCAGCACAAGCGAACCCCGTAGATGAGTAAAATGTGAAGTATTCTGCCTAACAGGGTGCTATAAACATTGAACATACCGGCTGATTACGGGCGGCCTGTTCGTCACACTCGAACGGCGGGAACAACGTAAACCAACTTGAAGAACACTATTTACGGGAAAAATTAACTTGTGAGAATTTAATTTTAGTACAGCCATAGAAAAAAGCGCTATGGCTTACAAAGCTGGAGAGAATGGGCAGTTTGGAAAACTCAACATTAATATTTTTCCACAGAAATTGATGTACCTTTTTAAATTAGAAAAGAATTCGGCACAGATATCAAAACATTAACAACCGATTGTACGTTCCCAGCGTTCGAGCGGCCGACCCACTAACAACAAATGAGCAGTTCATGAACACACAAGAACTTAGCCCGGCCCGCACTTAGCCTCTCAGACACTGAGTTGGCCTGGCCGGGGTGACGGTATCGGCTCTAAACCTAAGGGACTTTCCAGTCTCTTCGGATGGTTAGGCCTATCCATTCCGAGCGGAACAAAAGAGGGCGTGTTTCTTGGTACTCACCGCATAGGTGCGCCATAAGGTGCGCAAGTGTATGCGCGTTTGACGCGGAGCGCGCTGAGTACGCGTAACTAATTTATTCTGGCATGATGGTCTTTGCGTAGACGCAGAACGCGTGCGAGAACACGCTTGTAAACACCTGTCTTTCTTTCGCCGATTGGGGCTGCACTTCAGCTCGGGGCAGATAATGCTTATTATTTGAGCAAATAAACAAAAACCCATTGACCCAAATTCGCGTTCAAAAGTTCCAGTTCTTCTCAAAGAAAAATAATTTTAAAATGTTTCCTTTAGCAACAGTGTGCTTTTTGGGCTAAACTTTGGCTTAGTTTGAGGTATTATACTAAAGAAATTTTCAGATTCACTTTTTCCGTAGTACTGCCTATTCGGAGTAAAAAGCAGGTTTAACCATCTTGTTTGAAGAGCATGCCTAGAATCGTGTATTTAGGCAGATATGCTTTTTGCAGCAACAGGCTTTATAATATCATTATAGGCGATACTCAAACATAATTTTATAGGAGATACTCAAACATAAAAATCGTCAAAATAAATATAAAGCAAATGAATAATTCATAGAATATTAGAACTGCGATTAGTACCTTTATTTATATGGAAATTTCATTTGAAGGCATCGCCCATTGAAGACAGAATTTAATACAGATATTTACAATAAAACTTTTTTGACGATGAAGTTTTCCCAAACTAGTACGTTTTTCGGTCTTTAAGAGCACAGAAAACTAAATCCTTGTGACTGCTCAGGGAAAAATTTAGTTAGAAACCAAAATCCATATCTAATTGGTTTAGGTTGTGAAGAATTACCTTTTCATAGAATGTTGAATAGACCTGCTGCTCAGTAAACACTGAAAGTTCAGCGAACTAGCGAACAGAGGTTATTCATCGTTCCCAACAGTGAGGGAGGTATGTACAATTTGAGAGCATTTGCACATACGTATCTGAGAAGAAGGTTGATTTCATCTCACATACACCGGAAGGTGACGTCACACACCCGGCTGCTGTGAAGAAAGACATTGTGTTGGACAGATGTTTGAGAATCTCTCGCCGAAAAACGTAAAATTTTAACCGTTTTTGGCAGTTGGGAAGTCCATAACGTCCAAGACGGTGGGAAGCTCAACGCCCGGATCAGTTTGGTGGCGATTAATAGTATTGTGAAGGCTGGGCGTTAGAATGAACGGCTTAACTGTTGGTGAACTGTGCTGCTTATTTTGCTGTCCGCCATGTCCGTCTCGGATTGCGGCCAAGCTGGCGTTTCTTCCACCGGAACCGACCTACACCATCGTCACGGACGAAACGGGTACTAAAGGCACGCTTAATCTTACCGAGAGGGCAGAATGGCAGTATTCCGACCGCGAACTTGAATCCATTGAGGTGTTTTATACCCGCAACAAGCGGGGAAACAGAACAGCATGCATGTTTGTACGCTGTGCCCCCAACCCAAAGTACACTCTTCTTTTTAGTCATGGAAATGCTGTAGATATCGGTCAGATGAGTAGCTTTTACATTGGACTTGGTTCTAGAATCAACTGCAATATTTTTAGCTATGATTACTCCGGCTATGGTGCCAGTGGCGGCAAACCACTAGAGAGGAACCTGTATTCTGACATTGATGCTGCCTGGCAGGCCTTGCGCTCCCGCTATGGAATCAGCCCAGAGAGTATCATCCTGTATGGACAGAGTATCGGTACAGTGCCTACGATAGACCTAGCTGCGCGGTATGAGTGTGCTGCTGTCATTCTGCATTCCCCTCTTATGTCAGGGATGCGTGTAGCATTACCCGAGACCAAGAAGACGTGGTGGTTTGATGCATTTCCAAGGTTGGTATTTGAGAATGTTACAAGCATTTCTTAACGATCTTAATTTGGTGGGACCAACCTCTCTGCTCTGTTTGCTGTCTTGTTTTACCCTGTAGTTTCCCTCATAAATCAAAACTCTGCCCTCTCTCCACAGACTTAATGTACATGACAGTATAATCGCCGGGTCCCTAATTTTGCCACTTACTGTGAAAACCAATTAGACTTAACAATATGTGGCAAAATTACATGTAGGGACCTGGCAAGTACATGTGCACCGTCACGCATGTTAGACCTGATATTCAATATATTTGTTTACTGGCATGGTACCAACTGCCCAGAAGTTTCCAAAAGCAGATCATCAGTTTCACTGTACGGGTTGAAGTGCTCACCATTAAGATGGCTGTGTTGTTGATTTCAAGATTTCCGGGGCTTCCAGTCGCTAGAGAGAAATGAAGTGCTAATTGTAACTAATAACACCAATCCTGCTCAGGGTCACAAGATTGGATCTACACAGGCTGACAGGATGAGTCACTGGACTCCTCTCCCATTTGACCAAATACAGCTAAGGTTAAAACACATCTTCATGTACATGTATGTGTATCACATGTACATGTACAGTGTACTTCACATTGTGATGTTGTGGACATTAGTGTGGTAACATAAATTTCCAGGTACTTGTACAAGTACTGTACACATTGTACTAATTATTAGGCTGTTGTACAGGTAGATTTGACTTTGTTAAGATACATTTACCATAAGTGGTTATGATGTTAAATAATACATTTCTGAAAGTGGTTACTCTGAGTGCACTTGACACAATAATGATCTTTCATGTCATGTTCTTGAAATCCCTAAGAAGTCTGCTGAAAAGCAGGACCCCATGGAAAAAATTACTTCGACGGTTTATGAGGCTACCGCCCCTAAAATTTTATTTTAGGGGCGGTACATGGATATGTAGTCCAGTTGATTGCAATTAAGTAAACCTAGAATTCTTTTGTTACATTCCACTGGATGAAATGGTCCACAATGTTCATGTGTCCTGCTTCAAATTTATACCTCTTACATCATGTAGTCTTCAAATAATTTACAGTGTCTTTCAGCGGCTCCTGTGGTTTGCTGGATTCATCTTTACAGTTAGCACAAGTGAGTCACCCATACATGTACATTACATGTACATGTCCATGGATTCTCACTAGTTATTGGTCCCCACAGTCTCAGGTCATGAGTCACCAGTGCACAGTCTGTGTACATGTACAGTACATGTAGTACAAATGTACAGTACGTGGTGGTACAATGCACCCCATATACCATTCAGCCACATGCCTGTGACCTTTTTCTCCTTGTTAGCCATGTGTGCAAACATTGGTGAAACTACCACAGGCCTGTGACATGATACCACACCTGTGCATGTACAGTACAGCATGTATTTACTGTACATGTAATAAGAACTGTAAAAATATGTACATAGTAAATAAGACCCCACTCTGCCATACCACGAGTTGAGTGTAGTCACAGAAGGCCCTATACCAATGACTATATCAGTACTTTATTCTGTTTGGGGAATAAACCCAAGCCCCTGGATTTGCAGAGCTCGATGTTTGAACAACTGTGCTGTATTTCACCATGACATTTTCATACTCTATGTAGGCCTTCACTAGCAACAGCCTACAAATCGATAACAACGCATATAAATGCATGCAGGACACCGTCTGGACTTAATGAATGACTTGAAATACTGTATATCACGCTTTTAGGGATGGTTGGTGGTTGATACAAGGTTAAAAAGTACATGTAACTCTGCCTGAGCTACATGTTTACAGACATGTACACTTGTCTTGCAGTGAACACTAAACATGAGTGAACCAGAGCTTATTTTACACACATGTACATGTACATGTAATTACTGCGCTCTAAGGGTGGGACGTTGACACGTTTAAACAAAAAAGTTCCCAATCCATTTACAGATTTTCCCAAACGTTTAAACAGAACCACCCCTTTTAGAGGTTAGATGATTTGATTGACGCTATCTTGCATCCATTTTTATTGAAAACAATGCTTGTAAAATGTAATCTGATTTTCAGAACACTTAACTGCCTGGTCATATCTAAGGAATACCACAAATTCATCACCAGAACTTTGTGTCAACTATTTACATTGTATACAATTTATTGTGCTTATTGTGGTAAGGGTGTGACGTTTACACGTTTAAAGGTGGTGTACACCGTTGGTAAAATACCGAAAATCGGACTACTGTATAATCCTGAAATATCTTACTTGAAAGAAAGTACACAACAGTCTCAATCAGTCTGTAAAATATTTCCACCTAGAATGCTGTAGTTTTCAAGAAAAACAAAAATGTTGTTCTCATTTATTACGATGGTCAGTCGGCCATCGTAATATAGTTAATTTCACTTCACACATCACATCCTTTAACAGGCGCCAAATTTTTTATGTAGTGTTTGCAGATGTTGTAGGAGTCTCCATCAGGCAGCTAAAAATATACTAACATTCTTTCACCAAAACACTGTGAACTGAAATTATGGAAACCTGAATGTTAGGTGTTAAGGGAATGAGAACCTGTCATGCTTGTTTCCCAATCTGACCCCGCGGACGATGTTCGCTTGTACTAGGAATGCCCTGTACTCCATAGATTTTATGCAAGATAAACTACAAGACCTTCAATTTATGCGTTGAAAGGAAAATACCGCGCTGTTTTTCTTGTTTTTTCAGAAAGCAGTTGACTCGATCACAGAGCTGGGTATGTAGCTCTATGACTCAATCATGAAACAAGTGAGTGGAATGTGAGTTGCAGTGAATATTACACACCGTAATCTGCCAATCTTGTGAGATTACGCAAAAAAAAAATTAATGGTGTACATCACTTTTAAATGGTAGGGGAAGGTTTTTCTAAACATTTTACAAATTAAACGTAAATTCCTACCCTTACTGCACTCAAAATACTGAGTTGGAATTTTGATGCTTCTTGGACATTAACATCATGGAGCCTTCATGCACAAGTGATGAATGTTTACCAAAACAGACGACAGAGTTGAAATGCATGCATTCCATGCTCACATTGACCATGGAGGCAGGAAGACTCAGCCCTATGTAATGTCCGGGGGACCTTGCAATGTTGATTCCAATTGTCTCTTGAATGCAGAAAATACAAATATATCATTGGACACATACCCGTGCACGACGTGCTGTGCGTGTGAAAGAGGCATGTTGAATGTGACCTTAATGTTATTGATTCTACTCATTGTTTACTTGTAGGACCACTCTGTCTCTTTCAGTTCTTGCTTATTCAATCCTTTAGAAATTTGCATTTAACTGACTGTCTATGAAAATAATTATTACATGTACATGTACAAGTACCTGCATCACTGTACACATTCAAACATTTCAAATCATCTTTGTATGTATTCATTATGTATTTTTTTAAAATGCCATTCCAGGGTCTGCTTGTACAAACTTTTGGAGAGTTAAGGTACATATACCTTTCCATATGCACATCAACACTTGAGCCAAGCGTTGCGTATCCGTCAAACTTGATCCTGAGGCGATTTTGATGGCAGAATGCAACACACACTTGTGTTATGTTAATGGAGTTGACTTTTGTGTCCATGAAAGTGAAACGGTTTATGCATCATATCCCAGTACACAGCGCACCCCAAAAATATACATGGGAAGGCTCAGTGTACATTTCTTCCAAACATTAGGCCTAGTTAAACGGAGGAAAAGCACACACATTGTGTGTTAGGATGTGAGACATCCCAGAAAAAACCAAACCCTGAGGAAAGGGGTTAATATGCCCAAACCATGAGATATGATCATAATGTATAAGAATCTCCAAAATAGTAGAAGCAGTATTCTTTCTAATGATACCTTGATGGTATCCCTCCTGTCATGCATGACTGAACACCATTTTCTGGGACATCCTGTATACATGTATTTGAACAGTACTTTACTGCTGTAGTAGGCAGTATGTTTCATACTGGTACATGTACTGTACAAGTTGGTTTCTTTTGAGCCTGAATCACATATATGTACATGTGTACATGTACATGTATGTACAGTTTCTAACCATACATGTACATGTACAAAGGTTAACTTGTAAGGATTTCAAAGGTACAGTAGTGAGCCTAACATCAGAACATGCATTGGGCAAAAAAAGAAGTCTCCGGTTTCTGGTCAGGGCACGCGTCGCCGTAGACCTGCGCATCCGAAAAATAAAAAAGTTTTTATTAGGTATAAAATGATTTCCCAAAGCTGCCAAACTTTCGTAATCAACTAGAATCCTGCTACTGTGTACTTTTAACTTGTTTTTGATGGAGTACGGTTGAGTAATATGTACAGTAAAGGAGTCCCTGTGTAGTTCTCTAAATTTACATGTAGTCGGGCACTCTTTTTCAGATGATGTCATTTGTTACATTATACATTTACATCTGGGAACCAGACAAATGAGGTGGTCTTACATTTATGTCATTTCCAGAAAAAAAAGTGAGGGCCAGCTCCTGACCAGAAACGGGAGTTTGTTTTTTTTTCCTTTGGCCTTATGCAATACGGAGTTTGTTTAAATATACACTGTACCAGTACATGTACCGTACACTGTACTATGTGGAAATGGTAAACTTACTATGTACATGTACAGTACACTGTACCAGTGCATGTATGTTTGTAGTAATGGTTAACTAACTCCATACATGTACATGTACACTGTACCAGTACATGTGGTAATGGTTAACTAACTACATGTAGGTACATGTACAGCACACTGTACCAGTACATGTATGTGGTAATGGTTAACTGCAGTGTAACTACATGTACATACATGTACACTGTACCAGCGCATGTATGTGGTAATGGTTATCTAACTACATACATGTACATGTGTCACGTTTATCATGCATGCATTAATGTTAATAGTACCACGACATGGCCAATCCTCAACTGACTCCCTGAACATGACCATATCAATACGTTGTATGTGCAAATACTGTACCAGTTACCAGTACTTTTCTTTTCTAGAAAAATCATAAGCACCAATACCGGTACATGCATTTATTGCATTGATACCTGTGCACATTCCAATATTGGATCGCATGGCATTATGCGAGTCTGCAAGATGTGTATATACGTATACGTGTACTGTATGGTATGCACTGTGTGTTTGATTTAACCTTAACTCCATGTCAACCTGCATCCTCCCAGGAAAATCCCTGATTATTTCACAGTCTTCCACTCTGCACGAAACCACAGCAAAGTCATTGCAATTAGCCCCTCAAGCATCAAGCCCCATGTGAGGCTTGGCAAGGCTTTTCCTCCTGAGCCACCCCTAACAGATTATGGAGAATCTCGGAGGGTCAGCATCGCAGCTAGAAAACCCGACTTTTGAAATGGAGTGCTACTTCAGGGATGTGTCTTTGCAAGCCCTTCTTACAAAGAAAGAAGTGATCCAGGATAGTGCAAGCAAATTTCCTGTTCCTAATTAATTTCTTTATGTACATTTTCCCTGTCACAGTATTGACAAGGTATCCAAGGTATCATCTCCTGTCCTCGTCATTCATGGCACTGAGGATGAGGTCATTGACTTCTCCCATGGCTTGGCCATCTACGAGCGCTGCCCCCGCACTGTGGAACCGCTGTGGGTAGAGGGCGCCGGCCACAACGATGTGGAGCTCTATGGGCAGTACTTGGAACGCCTGAAGCAGTTCATCACTCAGGAACTACCAAACATGAGCGTCAGTTAAAGACGCCGCCAACCAGTTCAGTCACGTTTACAAGTGGGAATCCAGTTTTGTGCTTTTGTTGATTGTGATCCTTGCTCAAGATGTTGTGTCAGTCTTTGGCCACTGGTGGAGACACTGTGGAAATTGACTGTAATGTGTTGCAATTTGTACAAGGTACATGTCTACGCACATTTGTGTTCCTGTTTTTTTTTTTCCAAGTTGGTGTGGCCACCCCCCCTCCCCCGACAAGCATTTCGTGAAAGGTAATCCGCTCCGAACGGAACAAAAGAGGGCGTGTGTTTTTTGGTACGCTCCGCATAGGTGCGCCATGAGGCGTGCAAGTATAGGCACATTTGATGCGGAGCACGCTGAGTACGCGTAACTAATTTATTCCGGCTTGAATGGTCTTTGCATACACGCAGAACGCGTGCAAGAACCCGGTTGTAATAACCTGTCTTTCTTTCGCCGATTGGGGGTGCACATCAGCACGGGGCAGATTGCACCAGGTACATGTAGCATGTATTGTACCGTACATGTATTCGACTACATCTTGAACAAAGATTACAATAACAGCTTTAGACGTGTGACCTGTATGCAGTTTGTGACCCTCTGTTCAAAATCCAACACCCCCCCCAGTTTTCAGTTGGTGAAACAAATACAATGTACATGTATGCCCCATACAATTTAAAGCAGCCTTGTGGGGTGGCTTACAGATACATGTATGGTTGAAGTATTAGCAGCTCCAAATGTGATTCACGGTGACTCATACATGTACTCACTGAGTACCTGTGATACAAGTGTGAAGGCATGCAATAATAAAACTACATGTAGTGGGGGTGTAAAGGTATATGCATGGAGGTGTGATATCTTTACATGGTACGTGATCACTGTACATCATCATAATGTATATTTGCTTGATCTTTGATTTCCAAAGTATATGTACTGATAGATACATTTATATGTATCAACCTTTTGCGTGTAACCCCTGATGTCTGGCTTAGGGCTGGTATGCTCTCTATGTACATTATGCAAAACCTGAGTAACTTGGAAGCTATCTTCTGCTGTTTCCCTGTGATGCCGAGCATTGCCTAAACAAAACTGGCTGTGTTCCAGTTTGCTTGAAGTTGAAGCATCCACTTGCCTTTAGTCTACGTTGTACATACGAACGCTTGTACATGGACCTGGTATGATGGACCATCAGTGAAACATCTTGATAAAATTACTTTTTTAGGAATAAGCAGACACATTGAGAAACAGGTGTCAGGAGTTCTGTGCATGGAAAGTAACCCTGCAAAATTCCATTTTTGTTGGTCTTTTTCGCATCATTTCTGAAGTTTCTCATACATGTACATGTCTGCTGCCATAGTACTCCAACACTAAACACTCCCACTTGTAAATGTGTCAAAGATCTCAGCAATCCACCTGATAATGTGTAGTAAATATAAGTAGTACCTTGAAGAGATGTTATTTTTCTCATATTATCTGAAAAGGAGAAAACAAATCTATAGTTGTAGTGTACATACATGTACATGTACTCTGTGCATCAGGTTTGTTTAAATTAAGTGTAGTTGACATAGACTTCCAGATTTATCAGGTGCATGCATGTACATGTATCTCCGTGTACTTTTCGGTGAATGATACATGGACCAAATGCGTTTACTAGTAAGGCAATCACAATGGCAGTTTTTGCATTGTTTGCATGTGATTGGTTTGACGAGTTTTTTTTTCTTTCATAAACTCAACTTGTCTGCTTGCCTATGGCATGCGTTTCTACAGTCTTTGTGTAAAATCCCCCGTACGTAGGCTTCAGGAATGTCCTAGTTTTGTGCTGGTTATCTTGAAGCCATGGTTAATTTGGCTCTGAAATGGGATCACGCTCAGTACCTCATCTCCAGCAAAAATTGATGAGCGTCACTGCCACCAGCTGGTTGAAAGCATAGGGCTGCGGCTTGTGCCCAATGGCATTGTGCAGTGATGCCTGCTGTGCAGTGTTACAATGAGCAGGGCTGTTGCTTGATCAGCATTCAGCACCTTGCATCATTCACCATCCAATTCATTTGGCACATTGGTGCCAGAAAGCCGCCTAGCATACACTGTACATACATGTAGCTTCCTTTGAAAATGGCTCTGCAGTCCAGCTGTCTGGTAACATTTTGTTTTTCAGAGACAGCACTTTCATCGTGAAAAGGCTGTCCTCTGGATAATTCAGTGAAGACCGTTAAAGAAAATGGTGAGGATAGTATCCTCTTGATTGCAGAATCTGTTTTGTGATTATGAAAATTGTACAACCCGTGTCCAGTAGTACCTTTATTGTAAATAATATCTGGTATGTAAATGTACAATTATTTAAGAATTGTATTCTTGATAGAACTAATTTAGGCAGTTGATATAGTATGTAACAATGTTGAAAATGAAATGAAAAATTGGACATGATATTTACTTCTTCAGACATGCAACCCATACCGGTACATGAAAATGTACGTTGACATGTCCACCTACTCGTACGTACATGTGTGTGCCTACACATTAACCCTAGCCCCCTAGGGTGTATGTAAAATCGTATTAAAATTGGAGGATTTGGGACTGTTAGGGTGTATGATTTCACACTCCAGCTGTGTAGCCTACACGTGAAAACATTTTAAATCGTTGGACGTAGGCTATGAATATATTATTGAGAAAAAAGTAACAACTTCATCAGACTTGATCGCTTAATTTCGTACATGTATACCTCTAGTAGGTGTCCACAGTTTAGTTTTGAATTTAGGATTCCACAAACTGTGTACCACTGATGAACTCTTTGCACTATGTTGTCTTTTTAGAGGTAACAATAAAGTTTGGCAAATTTAATAGACTGAGGTAGTTGTATATTTTGATATCAACAAGCACGTACTTAAAGTTGATCTCGGACAAGCAAAATATGTGAAAGTTCACTCCTTTAAATTTTATGTTAACTTTTTAATTGTTTGAGGTTCTGTTTTCCTGGGTTACTTTGGATACTGATTTTACATGTACGTGTATTTAGAGCTTGAATATATTGGTGCTTTTTCTTTCATCAGAACAGGTGGCAGTAATTTTTTTTCAATTTAACACCTTAATGAACATAATGCCATGTCCTGCATTAACCCTAACACCCTAGGGTGTATGTAAAAATCATACTGAAATCGGAAGGTTTTGGACTGTTACTATTGGTGCCGCCAAAATTATTTCTGTTAGAAACAAGCCAAAAAGCAGTATGAGTTCTCTTTGTTATTGGTTTAAAGTTGTTCTTGCCTAACACCCCTTTTAAAACTTGTCTCTTCATCCAATGCATGTTCAACTGGGTGTGTTCTACATACCTGTATAAGGCCAAGGATAAAGTATGTGCATGTGTAATACAGGCGATTCACAAAAGGCGAAATCTGTCGGCCCATTGCCACTTGAAAAGGGTTGACAGAATTCACGCGTTGTGATTGGCCAACGCGTTGCAAACTCTTGGAGGCGCACTATTGTGAATCGCCTGTATTGAATACAGTGGTTTAAGAAACCCTGAAATAATGGTAAATTTGGCATGTAATGTTAGGCTTGGTTCTCGCTTTGTGTTCTCATTTCTGTGTGAGCCATGCATCGTACATGAGCTCCTGGAATCAACACGGCAGGGATCTAAAATTTTGGCCAGCGTACTTGTCATTTGGTTGCTCTGCCAATGACGCCAAAGTCATTTGGGAATTTTGGTTTGTTCAATTCCTTATTAAAGCGTAAGACGAAAAAGAAATTCCACGATCATGTGATAGTGTCGTCAGTGTACTTGTATCTTGTTTTCTGTGTGTAAAAAAAGGAACTGTTTAAAATGTATCTCTTGTTTATTTTGTGCAGAATACTTGAATTATTTGCATGTAGGGCATTGGTTTGTGTGAAAGTAGCTTATCGCCGTTAAAAAATAATTGTAAAGCTGGTACAAATGTAGAAATAAAAGTAATCTATGATATTTCAGAATCAATTTGAGGCTGTTCTTCTTTCTGTTGGCCACCTTGTTGTTTCAAGCATTTTTTGTCATGTTGTGTGTCTAATTTACTAGTGTTACCTTGTTGAGAAGCTCAAAGAGCATTTTTTTAATTGTGTGGTCATCGTTTTGTTTTTTGTAAGTACTCGTGGGTGATGATAGCAAATGATTTGCTCAACCCCATGCTCGGTTAAAGTCAACGCTGGTTATTTCACTTATTACAAGTCATGAAGATATAGGCCTACAAAGTATTTAGTGAAAAACAAAAACATCTTGATAAAATGAGCATCTTGGAACCAAAACTAATAGCAGGGTGTCCTTTAAGTTAATATAAATATAAAACCCTAAAATAAACGTCCTTGAGGCATGTTGGAGACTTTGGCCCTTGAATGACAATTGGCAATGGAAGGACTAATTACAACCCATTGGGTTGCCCATGCAGTCAGTTCACCCGTCAACTTTCAGTTCTAGATGCAACCATTCTTGTGGTTAATCAAGTAGAGCGCCAAAGGATAAACAGAGGAGGAAGGAACCAGTGGAACAGTAATGTTGCTTGTGCTATGGTTTATCTATTCTCGTGGACATGTGTAAACACTTGCTAACTCAGCACTGCCTTGGAACATCTTTTAGGCAAATGAGAAATGGCATCGGTGGGAATGCATGAAAATCTTTGGACAGCAACTCAAAGAATTATACAGTCCTGTTCAAATGTTACATTTTGGAAAACAAATCGAGGCATCATAAACCGTTTGTTTCAGGCATGGTTCTAGAGTTCTTCTAGGGGTAGGGGAGTGGGGTAGACCCTTCGCACCTGACGTCACCTTGAAACTTTCACTACGCTCGTTCACATTGGGAGAAAAAAGAATCTAATGTTTGTTGTGCATAATGACTCTGAAAAATTATCATGGACTGTTCATTTAAATAAAAAACTGAAGCATTGCAATTCGGATATATTCTAGCCTTTTTTAAGGGGGGGGAAGCTATAAAAAATTTGGGGGCTACACTCCCCACCATGTACACCTGTGCCTGGCTTGCTTTTTATGTGGATTCCTGATTAGGTGATATTAGGGTATACTGCACTAAAGAAGTATATGTTATAATGTAATGCTCCAAAGAAGTTTGCAAAATTATTTTTTTAATTTCTAGTCCTGAATCGTAAGTGGTTTAAAGGCACTTTTAGAATGGTTATGCAACAAAATTCCGTTCTAGTTGGGTTTCGGAAGTGAATGTATTGTAGTCTTTGGGTATGGCAGTTGCCCACTTGAAAATGGGCACTTATTTCATGGAAACCTAATGCTAATCTGATCAGGCCCAACGACTTGTCACTTTTTTGTCACAAGGGTGCAAAGGGCATACATGTACGCCCTTGCCAAGACCTATAAAGCCCTACTAGCTGGATGTGGCTTTTGCTATTCAGTTTGCAGTACATCGCTTCACAATGAACTTTGAGATTTGACTAATTTCCTGAGAAGCTTGGTGGTACCCCAGGGGTGATTTTGGGTTGGCTGGCGCCCAACTGTTGAAGTGAATGTCAATGCCCTTTTGGTTGCAAAAAAAGTAGAGTTGGGCTCTTATTGAAAAGAATTAAATGTTTGAGTCATAGAGTGACAGAGTTTGTTCAAAGAAAAACAAAAGAAGACACGCATTTGTCTTCTGTTTACGATCACTTTTAATGAATTTATCAACGAGACGAGGTACAACAAATGGAAAGACATTCTTGTATAGCTTAATTTAAATTTAATAGTTTATAATTGACTTACATTTTATATAATTGACATAACTTATATATTATCATCGTGATTTGGGTAAAATTGTGTCGAGTAAATGGAATGTATAGAAGCATAATTTCACAAAGGTTTGACTTTCACAAGAGATTCAGTATTAGACGAAAAATAACACTAGCACACCATATAAAAGATAGCATCAATGATGCACGACATAAATACGTACAGCTAAACCATATGTAAACCAGTGTTACAGCTGGTTTGAAACACAACTTGAATGACTCAAGATGTGCTTTGATGCATTCACCACGGCTGTATAATATTCAGTAAAACCTTATTCACAGGCGTGGTTAAAAAACACTGAATGCTCATTAGTTCCCCGCGATCCATCATGCAAAACCCTGCATGTTCTGTTTTCCTTCCTCCATGATTGGACTGAGACAATCAACACCCACGAGTGGTGTAGTCGTCTGTACTTCTAGTTAATACATGTACATGTAGTTGTCCGGTTCTGAACCAGTTAGCCAGAGGGTGGTGATTACATTTTCGTCCAACTCAAGTACAATGTACGTAAATTTGGGAAGCAACGAAGATTAAAGGTAAATTATGATTATACAGTGGGCCTTCAACATACGAACCAGATATTAAGGGAATTGATTGAAGTAGCAACTTGCTTGTAATTACAAATACAATTTTTAATTATTATAACAAAAATAAAATTCCTATTGTCATTGCAAAGCAACTTTCATTGTAATTCACATTCTATTATTCCTTAAATAGCACTGAAATTCTGAAACATTGTGAAATTTTAATTTAAATTTTCATTTTAAATTTTAATTTGATTTAAAGAAAAGTACTCATTGCTGTTCACGTAAAGTAGCATTCTAAGTAATTTCACATTCTATTCAATCCTATAGATAGTACCGCCATCTTTAAAAATTAAAATACATCTGTGCTTTATGTGTATGTTTATTATACTTTTCTTTCACTGAAACAATGTTGAACAAATTCCATTTTGATATATAAAATGGTAAGAAATTATTACATCACTTCAACTCAGCGTCACTGAATGGTAACAAGAAAATACATGTATACATAATCACCTGAAGAAAAAAGGTAGCAAATATGAAGAAACTTGACCTTTAGTACACCAAGCACACAACACAACATACAGTAGAAGAATGAATCAATCGAAATCAATCCATTGATAACTTTCTCTGCAAGCACTGAACTGCTGCCTCTGAGTTCGAGGCAGTCTTCTGTCGCTACCTGCAAAATTACAAGGGTACACTGACTTTAATGTCACTAAACACTACAAGTGCAAATCTGAAGGTTTCTAACATCCTTCATCAGGAGCACTGAGTGAGATTTCTGGCAGAGGATGCAAGAGTGATGCTGACAGGCTACCTGGTGATGATTATAAGCACAGATTACTTTTCTGCAACAATGCATTTTTTTTATTATCAAGGATACTGAGATGGAGGGAAATCTACAAAGCATCCAGCACAGGAGTTGAACCAATGATGGCAATAGGCAATATGACTTTTCAAGGCTCTCAATGGCTATTACACAGATGAGTTTTCTCTTATATGACTACATGAATCTTGCACTTGGATTTTTTTTATCACAAACTGCTGGGAAGTAACACACTTTGAATGATTACATTCCAGAAGTCTGGAGTCCAAAATCCTGAAATGTCCTGAGTAAATCACACACTTACGGCACTGCTGAAAAATAGGAACTTCAGGGAATGTTTGTATGCAATGAAGCTAAGTTACTATAACTCTTACAAACATTTCCACCTGTAGTTCATTAGAGAAATCAATAAATATAAATTTACTGTGGACAATGTGAAAGAGGGGTCACAGGACCTTCGACCGTGAATGTTGTGTTGAGCACACTGGAGCCAACTTGCCTCTTCTGGCCAGGTTGCTGACCACCGGCGAACAAAATAAACACCCCCGGCTCCAGCACCAGTTCGTCCGTGAACACTGCCCTCACGCGGGCTGGCACTCTCAGAAGAGCTGTCACCGTATTTTTCACTGTGGTCTTGAAGCGGTTGAAAGCAGCTAACTGGATATTGGGCGTGGGAACGGATGCATTGTGCCACTTGATGTAGACTTGAACCGTCTAGAAGAAAGAAACAGCAAAACAATGCAAAACTCTGATATGAATACCGACACCATGCATTTTATTGTACATAGTCTAAATGTAAATTTAATGGTCTTCCACAGATGACATTGTTGTATATCGTACCCCTGCTCATTGGGATAAAAATGAGCAGGGACTAATGCTCATAAAAATGAGCATTGTTCTACGAATACCAATACATGAAGAGTATTATACAGTACCATAGACCAAGAAGTACCGTACAAGCAAATTGAGTACGCCCATATGTTAGTTCACACACTGGTTCTTACGCTAATGCTTTTAGTCACTTTGGTACTCTTATATACGCCCCTTCTCTCCAAAGTGCCTCTTTACTTTTTATAGAGCAGCTACCGCATATCTCAGTAATTTATATTTCAATAAAAGACAGTGTTGATTTTTCCTACCTCGTCTCCTGGGTATTTCCCGATATTCACCAGGGTGACATATACAAGTAGGTCATCACATGGGCTAATAGTTGTCCTTCCCAAGGTCAAGTTCGTGTAGCTAAACTGAGTGAATGATAGGCCATAACCGAATGGGTAGAGTGGCTCACCAAAGAAATAGCGGTAGGTCCGATTCATCATGCTGTAATTTGTCATGGGTGGAACCTGTCGAACAAATGGAATGCAAATTTCACACAAACTCAGGAAACTTGTCCTGGACTGAAAAACAGCTTGGTAAATTTTGTAGATAAGGATATTGAAATTATGGTTCATTACCATTAACAATGTATTCAACTAAATACCTCACATCAAAGGGCTTATGATCTCCTATGATTTTCTTTTAAATATGGTAATTTCACAGAATTTTGTCAGCTGTCAAACATTTGTACAACAGATGTTTCCTATCATAACATCTCTGTCAGACCTGTAACTGTACGTTGAGCAAGGTTTTGCTAAAAGTGTGAACAGCCTAACCACAATGCAGAGTAGCAGGCTACTCCAAGACAAACACCTACTTGATCCAGTGATGCTGGCCACGTGAATGGCAACCTTGCAGCTGGATTGGCTGGCTCAGCATTTGTAAAAAGTTGTTTAAGGGCTGCCCCTGTCGCCTGAGCTGGGAAGAAGCATTCCACAATGGCATGGACCCCTGGGCTCTGATCAGCCCACAATATGTCCAGCGGGCCAGCATTGAAGAGAAGCAGGACCAAAGGTTTGCCCAATGCTTTAAAAAAAAGTGATGCATGAAAAAGTGTCAATTTAATTTTGCCTAGTGTTCTTTCATCGAAAGAAAAAAGAGACAGGGCTGTGCATTAATTGGCTTCTCAGCTTACAAACTGTGGTTAGAATCTTGGTAAGAAAAAGCTGCTTCTCAGGAAAATTAAGAAATAGAAAACTACAGTGACTTGTCGGCTGAGTCTCTTGCTAAAAAATGCAACAGCAATATTACACATTCAAGTTAATCCTACATGTACATGTACCTCTTCAGCATAAGTCACAATGTTTATGGCATTGTACTGTACGATAACATTTTCTCTGTCTATGGCTCAAGTTACCGCAAGCCACAAAAATTAGAAGCCAGGCCATGACTGCAGTCGTGCCATGCTCGTATGAAGGTCCACATGCACACATTGCATGTACCTGCCTATAGACCTCTTTCCTGTGGTGTCACAATTGTGCTGGACCGTCATGTGTTGTGACGGTAATGAGTGCATAGTGTTGTGATGGTAATCTACTTATTCTAGATAAACCAGTCAAGCAGGCAGCGTTCCCACGTGCACTTGCACGTGGTTGAAGCTGCCCGTAGGAATGTGTGCAATCACCATGGTCAAGGCGGTCCACATGTGGTGGTATTGTTTACATTTAGCGCAATCCAGTCACTGGTTGAAAAGGTCTGTATGGCAAGCCTTGGGTGTTTACGACTTGCAGAAAATGCCTGTGTGCCTCAAGGTTACAGTAAATGTATGCAGCAGGTTGAAAAGGGTGACACCACTACAATGGTGGCTCTTCCCCATTACTGCCCAGACTGGTAAACATTTACCCACGTACCATATTTCACAGCATTCTGCAGAAGCTGCAGCTGGTGACCAGGCAAGGACATGGTTCTCCTGTCCAACCCCTCTCTCTCCACTTTAGTTCCTGAAAAAAAGATGTATATTTGAGGTCACACTCACATGAGTCTTCTGATCTGCTGCACATGGAAACGTTACCTGACATGACACTAGATGTATCCACTCAAGATGCTCCTAAAACATAAGAATAAGGGACAAGAAGCCTGGAGAGATTCCTTCCTGTTATTTGTTTATTCAATTATTATTGTTTGAGAGTGTCAAGAGGAAATGAGGAGTTGAAAACTTCCAGCCACCTGCACTGTCCCATCAAAGAACATCCCTCTAAAAAAGAGGTTCATTGGTATTTTCCTATTTTGTATTTGCATCTCAAAGCCTACCAGTCCCCAGACAAACAATGACAAGATCTGCTCCCGTCACGGCATCCATAATGGCAGTCTCGTTGTACTGGTCACACACAGGATTGTTGCAGCCGGGCGCCAATCGCTGGGTCCTGCCAAGACTTCTCAGCCCTTGCCAAGGCGTGGAGATGAACTTGGGGTCAGTCTGTGGTGCATAGCTTCCGAACAGATCTTGGGGAGAATCAGCAAATGGCCCAATTATCTACATTAAATAGACAAAAAATAGGGATGGGCTAATTCTGAGTTTGTGGCATGAGGAAACATGGTAAGTGACCTAAAGTCCAATCAAAAGCAAAGTGCATGCACCTGCAGACAGACATGTACTGCTAAGGGGCATTGTCAACAAGTTATCAACTGGCAGCAGCAACAAGCCTTCCATTAAAATGAGACACAGCTAAAGCGCTGTGCAGACTTGAAGTCAAGTCATTCCACAAGTCTCTTCAAACATCTAGTCACAAGTACTTCAGAAAACCACCCAGTAACAGGGTGAACAGTGACAAAGGAATGCTTTTGTTACAGTTCATTTGAATAGCTTGTGACTCGGTATAAGACTGAATGACTTGTAATGAACTTGCAGGGGCTTGTGGCGGACTCAGTTTCCCCCGCGGATATGTTGCCAATTTATTTATTTCTTTTGGAATTGAAAGCACCAGCATTCTACAAATACAGCTACTACCTGTCTTTTGAGGTCGAGTTAGTGATCTTTTATGAATGAAATAGTTGGGACAATAGTTTTTAGAAATATTCCTGTTTGCCCCCAGGACACAAGACCTAGACTCATCACTGCATATCACCTCACTGCAATGATAGAACTTTTATACTTGGACATATGGAATGACTCCCAAACTGCCTCAGAAATCTGACACCAAAAACTCAACTCCATTTCCCTGCCCTTTTAATGAGGTTAGGCAGACATGGTGTTCACTGAAACTTACAGCAAGAGTATGAATTCCACCAACCGGCAGTGTGTTCTTCTCATTCTTCAGCAAGACAAAGGTCTTGGAAGCTGAGAGAAGAGCCAGGTTCCTGTGTGGAAAGGACTCCACCATCTCCGAGGCCACAAACCTGGCGTAAGGGTTCATCCATGGTGGGTCAAACTCTCCCAGTCTCATCCTGGTGTAGAACAGTGGCCTGACCAGCTGCTTCAGTTCATCCTCGCTTACCAGGCCCATCTGGACGGCATCGGTTAGGTTGGTGTAGACGTTCTTGGCCGAGTAGCATAGCTCCAGGTTGCAGCCGGCTTTAACAGCAGCTACAGCTGTCTGGAGAGGGCTGTGAGTGTATTTGTGCTTCAGGAAGACGTACTCAATAGCCTTTTGGTCACTGACAATGTAGCCCTTGAAGCCGAACTGACTCCGTAGGATATCAGTGAGGAATTTATGGTTGACGCAAGAGGGCACACCATTGATACTGTGATTAAAAAAGGGGGGAAAACACCACTGATCATTGGCTCATGGAATGAAATACGAAAGTTAATAGTTTAAACTGAATCCCTTTCACCAGGTTTCACATGTATTCCTGCCAGATATAAATGAGTCTCTGAGTCACTTGAGTCTCTGTTTGCTGGCATGAGTTTTTCCCACACCAATATTCTGCTGCTTAATGTTTTTCCCTCCTGCCTGCTTAGTTGCTTAAAAGCACTGACCAGGCTATGTACCCACAATAAAGATGAGAGACATCACTATAATCATAGTTACATGGAAATGCAAGTGCGCACCTGTTGTAACTGCACATAACACTGTATGTTCCAGCCTTTACACATTCATGGAACGCCGGCAGATATGTCATATACATATCATGCTCCGATACCTGAACATAAAAGCATAAGGAAACCATGCATGACTTTGAGCAGAATTGGGCAGATAATTTAAGCAATCGGTATCACTGTAAAAAGTGTGGGTGCGTGCAAAGAGTGCACACTGAAGTGAATAAGGTCAATGAACTCTGCCATTTTAGTGAAGAGCAATGTTCACTTAAGAAGTCAGTACAACAAATACTTGAAAGACTTTGCTCGTTTGAACTCCCAGGAAAAATTTTAAGAATGTGTAGCCCTCCATAGAAAATCCAAAGGTGTGTAGTTTGACTTCTGAAAAATGGCTCATAAGTCGGATGGTTTCAAAGTCTGAAATGAACACAGAGGTCAATGGTTTGAAGGTAACTTAATCACAAAAACACCCAAGGCTGAACAGTCAGAATTGACAGTAAGGCTCAAATAAGCGTGAACATGCTGAGAATATAAATTTGGATCAAACTCTTGACTCACAGCACTTCAGGCTCACAAATCTTCTTCTTGCACCTTTGGAGACTGTGTATTTACCTTAGCATCAAAGGTATATCGAGAGGATGGGTAGTTCTCTGGTCCGCTATGCACATCAAAGTGTTTGCAGCCTGCACTGGTTCGGAGGTATCTCGAGAAATTCCCCTGAAGGCCCTGCAGACCCCTGACAAATGCTTTGGCCATCTCACCTGTCAAGTAGGGGTCCTCCCCATATGTCTCCTGGAAGTCAATACGTGAAAATACCTTATCTGATTGTCTTACTGAACAGTGAAATTCATAACAGTTAGATAGGTCTTGGCCATATAACAGACATTAGAGAAATCCAGTGTTGCTCTTGATGTCACACGGAAAGATGTACGATACTGCTACATATATCAGGCTGTAATAATTACCAGTAAATGGCACTGGTGAATCCTTGTAATGCAATATATTTGAAAAATGGATTAAAGAATATTATTTAGAAAACAAGCAAGAAATTTCCCTATGGACAGTTACGATAATGAGTAAACTAAATGGCTTGGCTGTAAACACAAAATAAAATGTGCTCAAAATGGCAACATTTGAATGATGAACAGCATGCATAATTTTATTGCTTGAGACGGCATTTAGCAAAAATATTTAGTTTGATTTTGGCAACCCGAGTTTGGTATTTGCTTGAAAGGAAATTGCTGAGAGGTAACATGGAGGGGGCACCTGCACAATGATCGTCAGTCTGGGGTACATGGATGTACCTGGTTCCGTCCCCACAGAGGGTGTCTCATGATGTTCACCACGGGGCTGAAACAGCTTAATCCACCATGGTCACGGTGAATGCCATGCTTGGTCAAGTTGTTGTATTTAGCTCGAACTTCCTCACTTGTTGCCTTGGCTACACTGTTCACTAAACTGATGCTAAAATGAAAGGAACAGGGTCAGTCATGTCAGTTCATATAACCAATTCCTTTTACCAGCTCCGGGGTGACAGAATTAAGGGAGGGCGGACATGCACGTAGTACAATCCTGAACATTTTTAAGCTTACACAATATTTTGATAACTTTGACTTTCCAGGTTAGATTTAGCATTCCCATAGAACATGTTCAGGAAAAACATTAGATAAAACATTACCCAAAAATATGAAAACTAACAATAACCTGGCAAAAATGGAATATGGCCTTTAAATTATTTTTAACAAGGTAACTCCCTAGCAGTGAAAACATTTGAAGGAAAATCCATATTACCGCTGGCAAACGAAAACCTGACTAAATGGCCGAAAGTTTTACAAACTTTTTACACTTTGTTGTTGGTGGTGGAGGTTAGGTTGGCACTTATGGCAGACTATGTGCCCTGTGTGCCACAGCTGGGAAAGTACATGTAGCTCAGAAAATTGAAAGGAGAATTGAGAGGTTACCATCCAGCCACAATGTCACAGAAGGGGGCTCCCTCTAGGGCCGAGCCATCTCCCGAGCAGTTTAAAGGCCCAGGCCCTGCCGGTACATTTGCAGGCTCGCATACCCCTGGGTGATGGAGGGGACACAGTGCGGACCAAACAGTCACAGACACAGAACCCGTATGTGCCTTAAGCACAGTGCATATGGAATACAACACTTGGTCAGCTAATAGAAAAATTTCACGAGAGAGAGAAAGCTTAAATTTTTATTTTACAGGCCTTTACTTAATTCGCTCACTGCATGCCCGGCCGGGCCAGTGTCAATTAATAGGGAGGGGGCTATGAACAAAATATAAAAGTGTATTTGGGAATTGGGCGCCCATGTTAACCGTTGGTAATTGTCAAACTTAGTTAAAGCATGGAGGTAGAATGGTTAAAGTGTCCCACCTGAACGAAGCAGCGAGGCCTAAAGCTTGGGGGAAAGAGGTGGCATTCCCAGCTCCGACATCTCCACGGAGACACTCCGTATTCCAGTTGTACGGACCGATGCCGAGCCGAGGGATCGGGGGCGAAGGACCGTTGGGCCCCGATCCACCGCGAGCCAGTTGAAGGACGATGTCATCGAGTTGCAACCGGGAAATCAGGTCATCGAGTCGTTTGTCCCACGGCAGTGAATAATTCTGAAAGGGATATTCTGATGACACCAATGGCTGGTGAAATACTTGCAAATAAAGCATCCAAAGGTACACTGCGATGCAAAATTTAGCAGCCATTTATTTTTGTAATGACAGAAATGACTTAGCCGCACTAGTACAGTGTCGATACGTATGATTACAGACGTAGACTAGACCTAGTACCTGGAGGGGCTTCGATCGCGGGAACCAATGCAACCCCAGTTTCGTTGATCATGTGACCGAAATGCCTCCCTCATCAGGTGCCCACTATCACGTGCCCTCCGTTGTTTTTTCCCTCTGGGTCTACAGTCCCAGCATCCCCGAACTTGAGGCCTAATCGTACAATGAGAAAACTTTGTACACTGCTTACAACTTCATTTTTAAGAAATGTCGTGTGAAGCATTTCTCTGTTCATCATTTTGTGCAGGAGGATTTCGGTGGGGGGGCCTGGGGGCCGCGCTGGGGCACGTGCACAAATTCCCGATGAAAATTGCTTTCGCTTACTTTATTATAACCTTTATTAATCAGCTTGACATTACAGAGTGAGGAAGAAGGTCCAGTTTTAGACGCAGAAGGAAACCAGAGTACCCGGAGAAGACCTGCGAGAGAGCGAGTATGGACTGGAAACCAGATGCACTTAAAGCCTGGGCCAAGCCTGGCCGGGACTCGAACCCATGCCTCATTGGTGCAAAGCTTGGAAAGGACCGCTACGCTAACCTGCACCTCCGCCCCCTCCCGTTCGGTTTCAGCGGTTTGCACTTTATTTAGAGCGGTATATGCCAATCCACGCAGAAACAAGTGCAAACCTTGAGAGTAGACCCAGCGGATAACCGTTGCCGTCATCAACAAGCCGCTAACCCAGCTCACTACATGATGATCATCACACACAACCGAATGAGTGCCGGCAAAGCCACTCCAGAAAAGTCTCCAGAATCCATTCTGCGAGGTAGTTATGTCCTTTTGACTTTTTCTTTTTTGTTTTTGAACGTGTTTTGTTTAGCTTTTGCCATCTCTTTTTCCAGGAAAGCGTGTATTCAAAAAACAGTTCGACAAGTTCAGATGTCATGGTTGTTCTATATACCGAACATTTAAAATGACAAAGTCAGGCAGTGAAATATTCACACGCAGTACAGTTACATCAATATTTATTTTTATAAACACGGTTTGAGATCTTTGGTAAATAAAGTGATTACAAAAACATGTAAGAAATATATAGAATATTTATAGGATGAGGACGTACATAATATTTTTATGTAGCATAAAAATAATGGGAATCTTTTATTAATTTTTGAGACACTCCGAGTATAAAACTTGCAATATAACTCGAGCACTGATACATGTATACGACGGTTAGAAGATGGACTTGCACTTTTTAGAATTAAATTGCACTAATTCTGAAATTAGTATACAAATAATGAATGTTTGTGAGCGCAGTTTGTGGCAGATGGAACGTTCCATTCTACGGAGCAATCGAAGCCGAGTGAAATGGAACATTTATCTGTCACCTTTTATGTGTATTTTTCTTCGGCAGGAATGTGCACAAAGGAATCGTTACATGCAGGTCATGAATAATCGTAATGATAATTCCTGGTAATCTCTTACACACTATTTTTTTACTTTTTCACTCTGTCTCAAGATCACAGAAGAAATATCTCCATGTATTTCTGATTTAATTACCACTACAGTGGATGTTTCTCATTGTCCCAATAATTCTCCTGCACATTTGACAGCACTGTATCAAGCATCAGGGTTTTTATGCTAGAAGACTGAACAGCACTGCCTCGCCTTTATCCTTTGCGTCATCCACTTTATGTGAAGAGCTGCACTATAATCCAGTGTCCACAAGGCAACTGTGCATTTCAAACATTTGCCGTTTGTTGTGCCATCAATAAACCCGGCCATCAGATGAGGGAGATTTACTAAGACTTTGTCTGGAACAACGGTAACGTGGGGTATTTTTGAAGTGTCCCAAATAACGTCAAGTCATTTTGAGACAAAATTTTTGGCTATGGGCAATTTGAAAGAGGGGTCATGGGGCCTTTGACCGTGAGCGTTGTGTTGAGCACATTGGAACCAACTTGCCTTTTCTGGCCGGGTTGCTGACCACCGGCAAAGACAGTAAACATCCCGGGCTCCAGCACCAGTTCGTCCGTGAATACTGCCCTCACGCGGGCTGGCATTTTCAGAAAGAAGGTCACTGTGTTATTGATCGTGGCTTTAAAACGGTCAAAAGCAGCCAGCTGGATTTTGGGCGTGGGAACGGATGCATTGTGCCACTTGATGTAGACTTGCACGACCTGATGAAGACAAAAACACCACTAAAGCCATTTACGTAACAGTTTTAAAAACGACATTTAGGAAGAACGTACAGCGAGTCCTATGAGCTCAGCCAGAAAGCAAGAGAAAAACTTTCCATGGGGAGACTATTCCTTTACAGTGTAGCACATATCTTTACTTTCTGATAATGTTCTTGGCATCAGCCGTGAATACATGTGAAACAGTCTGTGAAGACTAAAGGCGTTGTTATGGTCAGCTAATAAAGACGCCAATTATTTAATTCGCTTGGAAAAAAACGGTTAGTTTCAATTGTTCACAGAGTCGTTGATATATTGCGAGATCTTCCAAGCAGCAAGCATTATTTTCATCAAGCAGTTGCAAGCTCGAAATTGAACCCATATATGTTTAACCAAAACGGGCGTTTAGATTTTTTGCTTTTTCTTTAAATTTAGTTCATTTACAAGTATAGATACCTCGTATCCATCGTATTTCCCAGTATTTATCATAGTGACATGTACCATCAGGTCATCGCAAGGGTCGATGGTTGTCTGTCCCAGAGTCAAGTTGGTATAGTTGAACTGAGTGAATGCCAGACCGTAACCAAACGGGTAAAGCGGTTCACCGGTGAAATAACGGTAAGTCCTATTCGTCATGTTGTAGTTTGACATAGCTGGTACCTGTTGACGAAAATGCACTTGCAGTTGATGATCATCAAAAGAAGAGCTTCGGGGAGAATCATCGAACTTATTTCATATCACAGACGGACACATTTCTGGATTCATGTGCTGCCGGATCTGATTTTGGCAATTCTATCAAACTACAATATTCTTCCTTTATCGTAGACCGACTGTCAAACCAAACCATTCTCCTATGGAATACGAACATATTTTACTCTGTATTGCAACTGTTTCCAACAGATGTTGTACCTGCTCCAGCGATGCCGGCCATGTGAATGGCAGCCTTCCTGCCGGCATGCCTGGATCGGCGTTGGTGAAGAGTTTTTTCAAGGCTGCCCCTGTCGCCTGTGCTGGAAAGAAGCATTCCACAATGGCATGGACCCCTGGACTCTGATCAGCCCACAAAATGTCCAGCGGGCCAGCATTGAAGAGAAGCAGGACCAAAGTTTTGCCTAATGCTGTCAGAAATACCAAAAATATTTAATTATAACAAAAAAATCGCTACATAATGCTTAGGAGTATGTGTAAGACCTATTTTATGGCGTGGAGTGTCAGACCATATCCACCCAAAAGATGAACCCTACCCATAAACAGAAATGTTTGGAAGCATCGGGCTTGCTAACCTCAGTGTATTGATTGTGGATCAACTGGCAAGGCAGCTCTATATCTCAATAAATGGTGTGTATTGCACAAATTTGAAATGTTTTAAGTAGGTCTGAACACAGTATTTTGCTCGCTCAAAGCTTCATTGACTCTTTAAGATACTAATATTTTCCGTTATTTGGATATTCTTTTGGAAAAAGAGCTAATTTTTCTGTCGTATGAATTGTGCCTGCAAAGACAGGAGAGCGTCCTATCTCACGCGGGATATGGAGAACGTACCATATTTTACAGCATTCTGCAAAAGTTCCAACTGGTGACCAGGTAAGGACATGTTTCTCCTGTCCAACCCCTCATTTTCCACCCGAGTTCCTGAAAGCAATAACATGTAATCAACCTAGAATTGCCTCCACAACAATAGCATTGATTTCCACGTACATTTTTGTAATTTCTCCTAGACCTTATTTCTTAGCGCAAAAGGGTTTCTATCTGTTTGGAACTATTAAATTAATTAAGGGAATAGGTGCGTTCGATTAACTTCCAGGAGTTGACTCGGGTTTAACTTCGTCCCCACCGTCTCGCTTGTTTGACACGATACACACGGCCATTCCCAGGTCAGGTTTCCCCATGTGAGCTAAATCGAACGCACCCTGCTGTGCTTGGCAGGTCTATATACGCGGGTGTTTAAGACCAGCTCGGGAGATATAATGGACGCGATTAATAGAGGGATTTCATATTAGCGCCGTCTGCGCATATCTGCATCGAAACCGAGGCTCTCTGTGTTGAACTTCGTCGCGCGCGCCCGCGGAGTCCACACAGAATATGGAGTATCCAGTTCGTAAGTGTGACGCCACTTCATTTTAAACCACGCCCACTGCACAAGATACACGACCATCGCA